ATACTGAGTGTTTACAAATTTAAAGTTTGAGATTGACTATGTGCCAATCCCTACCAAAATTGCTGCTGACCTTCTCTGGTATTTATGATGCCAGTATGGATTTTTATCATTGTTTGAGCTCTTTGACATAAAGCAAGCAGCTTCTATTGCATGTTTTTATCCATGCAAAGCATGAGTATGGCAATTTCAGTCTCTCTACCAACCTTGTCATTTCTCCTTCTTCGATGCTTGGTAATGAGGGTAGGTGATTCTGTTTTAATGCCTTAACAGTTTTCCAGCAAAGACTTATTTGCACAGATCAATTTTAATGCCTTAACAGTTTTCCAGCAAGACTTATTTGCACAGATCAGCAGTAATTGTAGTTTAAATTCTGTGGATGACTTAACCTATGTGTAGAGTTACTTGAAATACACTACTTATTTACTAACCATTCTCATAAAAATACTTAAAATATTTACTTAACCACTATCTGCCTAAAAGTACTTAGAAGATTTATCACACTGTGATAATGGATTGTGTATAGTAGTAGGGCATCACTCTTCAGTATAGTCCCTGCTTTACTCCCTGTACTTAGAAATACTATGCCCTTAGATGTGGTATTCAGTCAAACACAGAGGCCCTCAACACTGGCCTCTACAGGGATTATTTCAGCTCTCACTTGCGAGTCTCAGTTGTGACTTATACACTGCAATGGCCTAACAGAATCATGTGGAGACCAGAATTGCCACCTGACACTAAGCAATAAAGCACAAAGACAATCTCTTGCTCTAAATATGTACCGTCCCCAGCACAAAATGGCTTTGATCTTGAGTGGAAACGCAACCTGTAACACAGGTAATTATGATTTTCACAGTCAGATCCCTAATAAATTCACACTGTCATTTAAAACGAATGCTCTCGAGAATCCATACTTAACAAATAGTTAATAGTCAAAATCAGATGTTTGGAAGAAAGAAACTACATTTCAATACCAAGAGGTGGGAGAGCCAGAATAACAAAACAATTAGCTGATGTGGCCTTTAAAAGAACTTTAAGATTGATGGCAGAGAGCATAGCTTTGGACTGGTTCTTTTCTCAGAAGAATTCACACAATTTCTGCAATAAAAGTATATTGGTTACACTAATCCTTGCTGTCTGAAACACTTTGCAGCACTTTATCCAAGAAGGAATATGAGCTACAGTCCCATTCTTCCACCCTTAGGCTAGATGCTTTCTCAAGTTTAGAACTGTCAAAATCCAGAGAAAGATGAATAGAAAACCTAATCGGTGTCAACTAAGTCACAAAAAAGGTGCATGATGAGTTATCTTTACCAGAGTGGCTGCAGCCTCATACCTTTGAAGTCAGTATTTTGGAAGTATGTATCTGCCCTAGAGAAACAGTCTGCTTATCTTTGGGAGAGAAGGAGAGAATGAAGCTAAAGTAGAAATGTCTAAATTCCAGCTGAAATGCTGGATCTGACTCTTGAAATCTAAGTAACTAGTTTCCAAAGACAAAATTTTTGCATAAAGATTGAAACTGTCATGTAAAAGTAGTAATAATTATACAGCCCCAATAACTGCAGAGAGAAACCTCTAACCTGCCCAGAGAGACACTGTTTCAGGACACTGAAAAGAGGTGTGAATTTCTGCCAAAGCCTAAGGTTACCACTTCAAAGAAGATATTTTCAAATAAATTCACATATGTACAGACTTAATTTGTGCACTCAGTTACAGAATAGTTGGAATATTTATTGTAAGGGCATATGAAAAGGGCTTATTAGAAAAGGGCAGAAAGAGCAATAATTTAAAATGGAATATTGTTCCTTTTTTTCCTTCTATAGAATGAATGTAAGAGTAATTTTACCAACTACAATAGTAAGTTTCTATATAAGGGCCTGATCTTTTCAGCAACTCTTGAGATGACTGGAAGAAGAACCTTGTGGAATAGGGATACTGTGGATATTCCAGGTGCTATTTAAAACATTGCCTTTCCACATAGCAAACTGGACCTGGCTAAACTACAAGACAGTCCTGAGTCTGAGTTTCTTCCAAGAGCCTGTCCTAGAAAAAAGGGAATCTGAGCTACTGGTCGCTCTTAGTTATTATGTTCTTTTGGGAAAAAAAGTCTTCCTGGGCACAGAAAGAATCACAGACTCTAGGACCTTCTCTCCCTTTCTCTGTGTGGCCGTAAATTGGAAGATGCTGTGCTGGACCATCTTATCTGTTATCCGGCAGCAACCCACAGAAGGAAGCTCTCTGCTTTCCTACGCTCTTGCTGTGAAAGGTCTTTTGCTTGCCCAAACACTATCAGGTGCAAGCAGGTTTTTAATGGACAATTCTAGCCAACAGTTGAGTGTCTGAACATCTCAAGAAAGAGAATCAGTGGTTCTAAAATTACCATCCAAGCTGGGGTAGGGTATAGTGTCAGGCATGTATGGAGGTTATAACTTCCTATCACAGGAGTGTTATTTCTCTTGTGTTTTAAGTAGTATTTCATCCAATGCAGTCATAAACTTAGCTGGGACTTCTGATGGGAAAAGTAAGGAGGGAACTAAAATACAAGTTTAAAAAAAGGTCCTTTAGACAGTTATTTGCAGCTAACGACATGAGACATCATTTGAAGTGACACTGGGAGGAGAAAAAATAAGAAAGAAGTAACAGGACAAATTAAGAATCCTTATATGACTTAAACCAATCTTCTACTAAGCTGTCACGAGTCAAAATCAGATTTTGCAGGCCTTTGAGTGGCCACAGCAGTGGCCAACTTACTTGCCATCATCTTCCAGATCATCCATTCCCACTGAGTCTCGCTTTCCTAATGGGACTCCACCCTGTGACACAGGCTGGAGCACAAGCTTGGGCTAGGACCCTTCCATTTCTCTCTCCTCTCCAACATACAGGGTCACTTTGGGCATACATACCTTCCCAAGTCCTCTCCTACTCCACTCAACTCCCAGGGCTATGGGATTGTGTCATTAATTCTTTCTTTGTGTGTGACATGGTGTGGGAGATGAGCAGATGTCGACACTGACTCGAATTTACCGCTAGGCTTAAAAATATAGTGGAGAAGCAGGTGGTTGTCAGGAATCAAAAAACAGATCATACAACTAAGAAATTCATACTAAAACAATTTCCTGGCTTGGGGGCCATCTCTTGATTTTTGGCATGTGAATCATGACAAGTATGTCGGGCTGGCAAGAATTCTGCCTCCATATGTGTTAGAGCTTTTAACAGCTCTAACCAGCTGAACTACCTTGCCTAGCTGTCTGGAGACTCCTGACTCACACCTGCTTTTTAGCTTCAAGTAATCATCCATCTTCCACCTTTTCTGCTTATATTTTTTTCAGGCTTAGGCCTCCCCTCTGCTCCATACTCCCTTCTTTACAAGCAGTTTTTATCCCTGGTTTCCTTTCCTCAGTAAAAAGAAAGGAGAATACCACTGCTGTGCGTTCATTAAAACTATGAAGGAAAATATAAGCAAGGAGATGATCCCCCATATTATCTCAAGTCCAATTGTGATATCTTTGACCACGCAATGCTGTATGCCCAAGTTCAGTTTACACACTTTCCCTTACCTGCTACAGCATGCTAATATAGCAAATTCAGTAAAATATTGCTATTAATGGGACAGTAGTGCAGAGTGGGACAGTACAATATCATAGCATTAGTTCCTGTGCATACATTTATGTAAATTATTGTTGTCACGGTATATGTTTATATGAAATTCAGGGTTCAGTGTTGAACAAAAATAAAGAGGAGGAAAAACTTTATATTCCTGAATGAAGCAACAGGTTGTGGATGGTTCAGTAAAGTAAGAACATAATTGCTTCTGGCTTACTGAATAGACATCAATATTTCCAAAGAAGAGAAAGGAAGCAAATTCATTGAGAAGCAAGCACTAGAAGCGAGTCTTTGACCACAGAGCTGAAGTTAGCAGCTACTGCCTTGCTAGCTGGATCCTAGGAAAGGCAAAGAAGCCTTGTGGATATCAGTATGGGATATGTAGATCAAATATGCTCTCTTTTCTCTCACCTTTTCAACTGGGTGGTCTATTTGGGCTTCTGTAAATAAATAATTTCATTTGCTTAGGCTGAGTTTTGCTTGAGGTGATTGAGAGCTGAGTAACATCAAGGCTACGCTTCTGTAAGGCTGTAAACCTTCAAATCGTAATGTCTCTGTACTTACCAGCACTCCAAAATGTATTTTGAGGGTAACAGGAGAACAACAGGGCATGGCTCTAAATCTGAAAAACTGGTAACACTGCAGTGCAAGACAATTAAGTGGCTTCAGTAGCAAATGTTAGCCAAGAAAGGGCTCTGGCTTGTGACAAGGTAGCAATCTCCTTTGTAACAATCTCCTTACCCAGTCACTTTGAAAACGTCCTTTCTTGATCAACCTATCAAGATAATTTTCAAGGAGCTGTAGGAAATAGGGATAGGTAGAGAAAACTGCTTCAGGTGGATCTTCAGATCCAAAACCCTGTATCAACTCATTAGCAGGAGTAAGTAATAATTCATTGCTATTCACAAGCAAAAAATCTGCCCCATTCATCTTCCTCCCTAGTCCAAACATCATCCTAATACGTTCATTTTCAGTGGTAACAAGAAGTTATATTTAAAGTAATAATTAGGTTTTATAAATAAGAAGTAATATAAAACAACTCCTCCTGAGTATTGAGTAACTGCAGGTAGTTAGAATGATATGTCAGAAGAGAATTCTCATAATTCTTTCTTTATAACATACTGTATTCTCAAGCTCTCACTTCTTCCCAATATTTAGACCAATAAAAGAAAATAAATAGATAATTAGTGTTGTCAACCATTCTATACGCAAGATTGTTGAGGAAAACAATGGAAAAATGGATTCGTAAAAGGAACAATTATATTGAAACATCAGAAAATGAAAGAGTGAAAACATTTAACAAATAAATCTCAGGTGGCCCTTTGCTCTGCTCTGCTGCTTACTTTACCAAACCATTCTCCCTCCCCATAAATCAAGAAATTAAAACGTCTTTAGAATACCTTTGAACTTGTGAAAGACGGCCCAGAGCTCAGCAATGTCAGTGGCAAACGTTATGTCTGTGTCGAGGACAATGACTCGCTCAAGATTGGAAGGTAGCGTCTTAGTCAGAACCAACTTCATCAGCCCATAAATCCCAGAGTAGTGTTTGTTGGGGATCCAAGACACTTCCGACTAACAGGAAATGGAAAGTAGAAAGAGGAAGAAAAAATAAGCTTCATTAGAGATGAATTGTTTTAGGACAAAAACTCTTCCTGACACTAGTTTCTTGTAATACTGGAAGGTCTCTAAGGACCACAATATAGAACCATAAAATGCTAGGTGGAAATAGTCATCTAACATCCTCGTTTTAAATTAACTTCAAAATCTCAGTAACATGTTAACATTTCTGAAGGCTTGAACAAAAACATTATTTGAGGCAAGTACTTCACACAATAGAATTAAAATTAGATCAGCCTCTCCAACCTGCTCTTTCTGAGACCATCTGTGTATGTCCTGATAAAACTGAAACACATATTCAATCCAAAATTCCAGGTGTATTTTTTGCTTTCATTTTCAAACAAAACAAAAACTTTTGGGTTTGCCATTTTCGGACACAGAAGTAGAAGTAACAAATACACATTTTTTCCTTTTATGTTTTGCAGATTTGGAGGTCAGTATTTCAAAATGCTAGCCATTTGGAACAATGGGCCACAAAATTTCATAAAATTTGTTTCTTACCAATTCAGATATTCCTCAAATCTTCCATCTTTAACTTGTAACTGGTGACATCACATATGCATGCTCAAAAGTAGAGAAATTGAAAGAATATCTTTTGCCAATTTTTCTTGTATTGGCATATATAAAAGGGCCACACCCAAATATTTTCATTTTTTTATAAGGGTGAAACAAAACCTTTCTACAGCTTCCAAAATAAATTAGGAGGCTAAAGTTGGTATTCAATTGTGACAACAACACTAGGACGTTTCATGAGCCCTGTTTCATTTTCTTCCTGTGAGAGTCAAATTCTCAAATCGCAGAAGTCACTGCTGAAAACTGGGTACAGAAGTTTTTGAAAAGTGGTACCTATTGACCTGCCTGAAGCTTCTCTCACTTTATGTTTTAAAGAGCATCCATCAAAATTCTGAGGTTCTTACTAAGTTTTCTCTTGAGTGGTGTTTCCTTTAACTTCAGTTAGTATTTTGTCTACAGCGGATTTGAGTGGAGTCAGGCTTCAGGATTTGGCCTAGCATGTTATACTTCGGACAACGTAGGCAGAAACAAAGCGCGTTCATAAAACTGAGAAGACTCATTCTGTTGTTTAGCTGTCTCCTGTCTATTCACTGACATTTTACAGTTTATTATGTGAAACAGCTTATGCACAGAGGAGCTCGTTTCCTCTAAAATCGTTCAAGAAAACCGTCGTGTTTTTTTTAAGAGCGGTGGAATAAAGACTGATAATAGCTGCTTGGACTGTATTTCTCTTTTTGAATATAAAGTAACAAGGCCTGCGCTGATGTATGCTGACCTGCTCCTTTCCCTTTAAAACAGCACACAGCTTTCTTCTGTATTCTCAGCTCCTGCCCCAGGGCTGACTTTTCCCCCACTGCTAAGTTCATTAAAAAGACTAGAGCTACTGGAACAAACATTTAAGCCAAAATTTAGAGGAAAGCCAAAATTTTAAGGGGAAAGGCAGGAAAAGTCTGACGCTCTTAAAACCACTCCCAACACAGAAAGTACAAACTGAAGCAGGAAAATTTGTTTGTTTGTTTTTAAACAGGTACCTCATCCTGGCTACCCAATTTGCACGCATCCTTGTCTGTGTATATAATTCATATGTAACCACTTGCATATATAATTTTGTTGGCATTGTTACCTACACGCATATAAGGTATTTGTGTGCTCTCCTCTACGGTGTTTGCACTGTTAAATGTCAAAAGTAGCACGAGCAAGTGACATTGTGCAAAACCTCCAGGACTCTGGTATAAGCCACCATTAAAGAAATTAGACTGAAGTAACACACAGCATGATTTAATTCATGGGCTTGAAGAGCTGTCATTCTTACTTCATTCTTGCTTGCTTGCTCTCACTGATACTATCTTGCTGATAGTACTTTGAAGAGAAATCTAGATACATACATGCCAATATTAAGTCTCTAAGTACACATAAATGAACTTCAATGCTCCTCAGAATTATTTTCCTACGTGTAAAACTGAGATCAATTCAAATTGACATCGCCAAAACTCAACATATGTGTGGTCTCAGTTGTCTCTCCTACCTGATGGCCCTAGGAATAGACCATCACATCAAGATGTCAGTGATCCCAAACTCTGGATGTCACCCTGAATTCACCACTTGAAGTCCCTGTGCTACACCAGCCATAGAGATCAGCTCTCTAGTCACACTGACCTAATAAAAGAGTTAATGTAATTTTAGAGACTTGAGCTTGCTTTTATTATTACCCATTCCTAAGTTATTAATTCTGGATGGCATGTCCCTCATTTAATTAGTGCAAATGCAATATCGCTACAGAATAAATCCTAATATGCTTATGTAAATAAGCCTAAAAAAGCAGGGGTTCGGAAGACTTGTGGGTAGCCTGAGACAAGCAGGGAAGGGAAGAAGGGGCTGGAAATTTGAGAGTCACCTACAAAGAACCATTACTTTCTTTACTCTGACGATCCCCAATACCTAATATCATTGCAATGTATTATTGCAAGGAGGAGAGCCTTACCTGGCAGTTGCTTCAAATCTGGCACTCAGAAGCAAAAAGCCTGCCAACCTGAAGCCTGATGTCTAAAAGGATCACTTTTGAAAATGACAGGAGCAATCCCTGTTCCAAATGGTCTATCAGAGCTGGCAAATATGTGTTTGATTTGAGCATGTGTTGAAGCCCTGTCACTTGGTTCAATGTATCTCAAGTTTTCTCTCCCTTTTATGTAGAGTTGACTAAGACATAAACAGGGGTCCTAATTAGTCCCCAGTACAATTTCTTCATGGCTTCGCTATTCATGGGTAACGTAACCTTTCCAAACTCATGCCAAGGATAACTCTTCACCCTACACAACAGCACTGTGGAGGCTCACTCTCTCTGTATCACATATAGTCTTACTAAAATAAATTAAAGAACACTATTGTTTAACAGATAGTAGTTAAGAAATGCCAGAATTTGGGTTAATTAAGGTAGTCTGTGCACAAATTCTTGCAAAATTCAGCAACCTTCATGCTACCTGCTTTGATATAAATTGTGATATTTAGTCATTTCATTTTTCTAAATGTTGTCTAAATATTCTGTACCTCTTTTCTTTAGCATAGTAAAAATGGACTATATATGGGATATTTGTGAATTTGCTTTACAAGCTAGATCAGAGTTACTTTCAAAGAACAAATATTCCTAAAAGATTCAGCACGAACAGAAAAGCAGAGTTTGTAAAAGAGGAAACTGAAACAAGAATAGTGTGACATATTTTGCCATTTGTTTAATTCTTAACGCAGTACCAATAGCACATCTTGGACCTTTAACTGGATCTATGAGATTTCGGGATGTCTGTTCATAGGAGGAGAGACAAGAGGGGTGTTTTGCTAGCGCAGACAGTAATTTTTCTTTCTTTTGTTTTAGTAAGCTAAATGAAATACTATCTTCTTACCAAGGATCTTTCATCAGAACCATCCTTATTCTTTCCATACCTGAAGATTGAAAAGAAACTAAATTATCTAAGCTATCTAGTCTTTTTTGGTACTGAAATCACATACCCATGACTCTGCGTGCTTTACACACATAATTATTCTGGTAAACGCTGAGGAACTGGGAACAACAGTCTCCATGTCCACTGATACTTCAGCAGCAAGTTGTCTTCCGTAACTCCGCTCAGATCATCTCTGGGCAAAGCTGGCTGTCTTATACAGCGGTAGCTGACAGCCTAACTCAGCTTTCTCATAGTTGCCTCAGTTGTGTAAGTGTTCATTAGGGTTAACAGAAGTGCCATTATTAAGGAAAGAAGCCTAGTAACAAACAAATAGGCAAAAAAAGAAAAAGAATCAACCCTCCTTGTTTCTATGATGAGCATAGGAAAGGGTATAAGGGTGGCTCCTTTTCTGTTTATGAATGAATTGTGTACAGACTACATTCTCATGGGTTTGATGGATTTTTACTCTTAAAAAAAAGAGCCTAGTGGCCCACACATTGAGATCAAAGAGCACAACACTTCTACCAAACCACCACAAATACCTTAAATCAGAAGCAGACTGTTGTAGAGTACTTGCTCAGGGAATTGTAGTGATTCTTTTTTCTAAATTTATTATCATTTTTCCCCAACAAACAGCTGATGAAATTATCTGTGGAGCATTTCCCATGTGAATACTTACTGCTGTCTAGCTGTAAGTGAAATCTTTACTGAGTAAAGTAACTGGAACCTCTTTGAAAGGAAAGTAGACTTGGTCTTGTTTGGAAGACACTACAAATTTGAACAGAATGAGAGTGGGAGCAGTGACCAATGGGAGAGGGCAAAGAATTTAGGAATGCCTCTCTGCTATCAGATCAAAAGTCAGTCTAGTTCAGCAGCCTAGCTCCAATAGTGGACAGTGGCACCTACTGAGGAGTATAAAAGCAGGAAAATAATACAGCAATACTTCCCCCATAAATATTCCCATAATTTGCAGCAGTTTTCTGAGCCAAAGGTGGAATCCTTGTGTTAATAGCATTTGATGGGTTTTTCATCTATGAATTTAGTTGATTTTTGAAGTTCCAAAAATTTTTAGTAAACACTACATCCTGCAGCAAAGAGTTCCACAGCTTATTTGTAACTCCTGTTTGCATCCACCTGTCTATCAATTTCATTTGGCTTCCCACAGATTTGGTATTAGAGGCTAGAATACACAATTATTCTGTATTTAGATTCTCCGTGCCATTTTGTGGTATGCTGTACCTCTGCCATATTCCTCCTCAGTTATTTCAGGTTGCCCAGAGAGGTTGTGGAGTCTCCTTCTCCAGAGAGATTCAAAACCTACCTGGACGTGATCCTGTGCAATGTGCTCTAGATGACCCTGCCTGAGCAGGGGGGTTGGACCAGACGATCTCCAGAGGTCCCTTCCAACCTCAACCATTCTGTGATTCTGTGATCTCTTTTCCAGGCTTCAGTCTACTTAACTTTTCTTCATACAGAAGCTGTTTCATACCTTGGATCAACTTTTAGAGC